GAAAGCTTAGGTCCCCCAAATCAAATTTAGCAGCGCCGGTATGCGTTGGTTAACTACATACAAATACATTTAGCTTGCTAAAGCACCGCGTATCATAAACAATTGTTCTTGTAATCAGATACTTGTTTTTCATCTTTGCTGCTGCTGATCTCCTGCAGCCTCTTTGCCATTACTTCCTGGCTACATGCACTCCAGTGATGGCTGTATGGCACTTCTCAGGGCGGCTTTCCTGATGGTGACAGCAGTGGATCGTGCCTGTGTATTGTGCATTCGCCTGGCCTTGTAGTCTCCATCGGAAGCTCATGTCACAATTAGGGATGAGCTTAGGTTCGGAGCAATCCTGAGCTCCTCTGGACATGGAAGGAACGTCTTTCCGGTGCTGCCCAATCAGCTGCCCCCGGGCAATTTACTGCCAGCAGCTGAATGTAAACAAAGGGGGCGGGGTGCAGTTATGTCAATTACCTTATATGGCCACAAGACTATACTTGGTCAATGACATTGATCTAATATGGCCTTATAAGGTAAATGACATCAAAACAGGCATCCCGCCCCTTTGTTTATGTGCAGCTGGGGGGTGGAAATGCCCCAGCCTTCAGCAGAATGGGCGGGTGACCCCATGTCCCAGATTCATGACACTGACCAAATATTGCCATGTGGCCATATAAGGTCATTGACATCAGCACAAGTGTCCCGCCCCTTTATGTGCAGCTTATGCCCTGCCCACAGCTGATTCGGCAGGCGACCCCAGGGCACTTCCGTGTTTGGGGAAACTCCAGTTTGGACCAGGGGCCTGTGTCATCCCACAGAAGCACAATTGGGAGACAGGGACAGAGTGTAGTCACCCTGTAACAGGAAGTGCCTCAACAAGGACGAGCAGGATTTACTTTAATGAAAGCTGCAACCCCCCAACACCCCTTTACACGGTGACAACCACAGCCTACCAGCTTCTTCTGTCACCGTCTCTCTCTCTGCGTGAAGCTCACTGGCAGCAGTGCTGGAAGGTTTGTTTGTAAACAATGTTCCAGTGATCCAGGAGAAGGACACTTCACCCATCGGGGCTCATTCACACCGTGTCCGTTTATCTGCAATGGTCAACACAAGGCTCACCCTGTGGACTTATAAATCTTCCGCCCAGCCATACAGCATTCCCGCTGCATTACTGCCACTAGATGGTGCCAGGGAGCATTGACATTTGCATACCGTACCCACAGCATTCAGCCACCTACTGATGTGCAGCACCTACCGTCGGGCGTGCAGCAATGCAATAGCACGCATGCACTGTTTGTTTTTTTCAGCGCACCCCCATTGTGTTTGTTGCTGTAATGCAAAAGCACGGTGTGAGCGGGTCCCAAGTTGTTAGGGGGTCTCTCTTACCCCCCACCTGTAATTGTCTCTCGGGGGGCCCAGGTGGGAGGTCACTGTGGTGCTGATATAGATTGCGGGGTTCACTTTAACACCCAGATTATACTCTGCTATAGGAATAACACAGCAAGAGCAACCCTTGAAGGGTATATCCATCAGGCCGGCCACACACAGTGCTATACGATCATACAACCAGCTTCAGATTAGTACAGTGACACAGCCCACTGCAATCCATGTGTATCCAATAAGACAGACCACTGCACTGCATGGATGGAGATCGTGCAATCAGATTGCAATGTGTGTTGTCAGCTTTGTGCACACTATGGGATGACGTAAAAGCAGCCCAGCCAATCCAATATATGCATTCAGGATATACCAATCATGAGCAACCAATCACAGTCGGGCTAACACTGCAAAGTTACGAGCCGTTGCTACAGGCAACACAACAGAAGCGCGTGCCCACCCCCCGTTCTCAGACTGGCGCAACGACGTCACCACTCACCTGGCGAGAGAGTGAAGGCAGCGATGAAGCCCGGCCCACCTGGTCACGTGGTGTCATTAACCACAAAAGAAAAAAAAAAGAAGATATTTTTGCACGGCGCCGGGGGAAGCGGTACCCCGGCTGTAGATGGCGCTCACCTCCTAGGCGCCCCCCGCGTACCTCTTGGCTCCTCCCAGAGGTGGGCGCATACACCGCATCAAAGACCCGCAAGGATCCCACGGTGCACGAGCCGCGCTCCCCTCAGAAGCGCCTGCGCACTCTGTCAGAGTCCACGCTCCCCTGTCGGATAACAAAGGCGTGACGTCAGAAGGAGATTCGCGGGCTGGCCGCTGATTGGCCGGTTCTCTTTTTTCCCGGGCTTTTCGCATTGGGGGATGAAGGAGGAAGTTTGCAGAGTGTCATGGCGAGCTGTCTTCCTCTGTGCAGAGAGAGAGGGGAAGGTGCGGCTGGGAACGTATCAGAGGGCCCGCTCCTACCATACTGCTGCCTTCATCAATCGCACAACGCACCTACCGAGTGGTGGTGTGCGATATCGTGTGCAGAACGTAGCAGCGCTATAGTGGGAGCTAGCTCAACGTCATGTAACACATACAAAAAATAATAAACTCTACCGATGTACATGTGATGAATAAAATCCTGCTTTGTGTAACTGCAATATGATCAATAAAGCAAACCAGTACTGTCACACAAAGGCCTCAATGGAATATGGAAGGCCCAATCATAGGGCCTCAGGGCTCAAGACAGCCTGCCATTTCTATGTCATTCATAAATGGAAGGCTGTGTATGTCTGAGCAGGTAAAACATGCATGATATAGGAACAGATTTCCCCCAACTCACATTTCCTAAATATCACCTCTTATTTACACAACATCATTGTTTTGATTCTCCTATAGTTCATAGGACAATTCGGGGCAGATCCCCATCTAGAGCAGTGGTTCTCAAGCTGTGTAACCTCAGGACCCACATTTGTCCTTGGTCATTCAGTCTCGACCCATGTCGCACTGGAATGGAATGCACGAGAACTGGAGTGGATCCTCAGCCTGGGCTCCAGTGTGGACTGCTGTGCTGTAACGGCGCTCTATCCATATGTGCGTGGCTTGTACAGCTCCCTTGCATGCCCTGTAGAGGTGCCGAGAGCCAGAATATGATGTCACTCTGGTCCAGGCACCTCCGTAAGACACGTGAGGGAGCTGTAAGCAATGCACGTATGTATGGTGTTTCCTCGTGGCCATACCCCCCAGCCCACCTCAGGCTGACATTGCGGCGGTCAGCATATTTTGAATGGTTGCTTGGCAAGAGAACTGACAGTGCTGCACTAGCGGGAGGCAGAGGAGCCTCTCACCTAGAAAAGTGGAAGGCATGCGGCGAACCACTGAACAGGGGGTCACGACCCACCAGTTGAGAACCAAGGATCTAGAGGACGTCAGAACCCTGACTTCACCCAGAGGGATAGAAGCCGCTCTCCGGTCGATTGGAACAACTCAGGACCAAAGTACATCCAGAGACCCCCTCTTAAAGGAGAACTATGGGGTCAAGGCTTTTCCCCATAGTTCTAAGGGTAACGGGAGGACACAAACTAGCGTCCTCCGGTCACCCTAGGCTCAGTATACCACAAGCTACAGCTTGCGGTATACTGAGACGCTGGAGCGGATCCATCGATGTCTGGATCCGCCCAGCTGCGTGAGTGACAGCTGGCTCTGCCTATCTAGTGAAAAGCACTCACCTTATAGTTCTCCTTTAACGACTTGCAGAGGGAGGAGAGCACTGCATGGAACATCTGCTTCCATGGATTGCAAAATGGAGCAGACCACCCGGCTCCCAGCAATTTCACACCGGCTGCGTCCGGAGATGGATGCAGGAGGCAAGTACCTGTCCACTTATACCATTGTTAGATAACTGTGATTTTTTTTTGGGTGCATAGGCACAATTCTTTTCAGAAACCCACAATTAACGTTTGTTCTCTCTCCACAGATACAGCAACCAATGAAGCAACGGTATTAGGCCTTGTTCACACCAAGCGCGTTCCAGGATCAGAGCAGTTACAGACCGGATCAAAACTGCGTCCAATGTATTCCAATGGCTCTAGTTCACACCGCAGCGTTCAGTTCCAGAGCATGTAAAAAAACTGCAGCAAGCCCTATTTCACCTGCTCTGGAACGCATGGAAACGCATAAAAAAATGCATGCAAGCGCACTGGAACACACTGAAAGCCCATTTTAAACTAAAAAAATATATATATATTTTTTTTTTTAACCAAAAACGGCCCGGAACGTATCAAAAACGCGACACAACCCACTGCACTGCGTATGCAGAAACTCATGCAGATCTGGTCTACATTTGGTGTGAACAAGCCCTTAGCCCTCATTCACACCAAAAATGAAATCCTATTCATATCCATGGCCACGGTCACTTCTGGGCTTTTTTAGCAAAATACTCGTGCTGGAAGAAAGCACACGAGCGTCTTTTTGGCAGGTTAAAAAACTTACAGCGAAGACACGCGTAGAAACGAGGGAAGACGCCGTCTCCTAGGTGTGAATGCCGCCTTACAGAAGGATGACCATCGTTGTCCTTGGAGAATCCTGGGACAGACAGCCATCGGCTTCCGTCTGTCTGTGTGGTGACAACTGTACTCTTTTATCTGACGTCTTCTCTCTGAGACAATTCTGTGCACGCTTATTGGCAATAAAACATTTCAAATTTAACAGAATCATAAATATGTTTATTCCTTTCCTGAATGTTAAGGGCCAGTTCACACCATATGCATTTGTGATGCAGTCCGTTTATTTTGACTGCTGCAGTCAAAATACATCACAATGCTTTCCTATGGGCTTTCTTGTGCCTAATTCACACCATTGCAGTCAGAAAAAGTACGGCTTGTCCTACTTTAACTGCATCAAAACGCGGTGCAAACGCACTGAAACGCAACAGACTACATACCAAAAAAAAAATACAGAATTGATTGTGGCATCATCCAGGGACATGCAGGGGGGAAAAACGCGTCAAAACAGATCGCAATGCAACTGCACAGACTTACGCAGTTGTGATACAGTTTCTGGTGTGAACTAACCCTAAAGTATGGTAATAAGTACGGGATACAACCACATGACACCTTCCGGCTTGTGACATCTGCAATGCTGGGATCTGTAGTGCTTCATCACAGATACAAATCATTATTCATTAATCATATTTAGGGAGAAACATGCAACCAAACATCTTCAAATCATTTCTCATTACCCTGCGGCTGAATTGTTCTATTAAAAGCTAAACTAGTTAGCAACAAGTGGACTTATTTTCCCAGTGGTATTCATAGGTAGGTAACATAGCCACCGGCTATTATTAAAGGAGAACTATGAGGTGAGTGCTTTTCACTCACCTCATAGTTCTTGCCGACCTGTGACAATGAGACTGTCTCAGGTCGGCTCAGTAGATCGGGAAGTGAGGGAACACATACCGGCGTTCGCTCACTTCTCGATCCTGTCACGGCTCTCTGCTGTGACAGGGGAGGGGCTGGATTCCCCCCGCTCCGATCCTCCAGCGCTGACTGGTGGAAGGGACGGGGGAGGGGGCGGGTACAGCTAACTCTGCCTCAGCTAACTGCAATCACGCATACTGAGGCGATCCGGGCAAGTTGGGCCTATTTTTAGTAGCAGACCTGGAGCGCGCTCTCCAGTAGACCCTATGTTAATCCGGCCCTGGGTGGGGGAATATTTACCGGTTTTAGTAACGAGTTCTGACCCTCGTGAAATTTACCTGTATTAATGAAAACCCCAAATTTGCTTTAAAGGAGAACTATGAGATGAGTGCTTTTCACTCACCTCATAGTTCTAGCCGACCTGAGACAATGAGACTGTCACAGGTCGGCTCAGTAGATCGGGAAGTGAGCGAACACATACCGGCGTTCTCTCACCTCTCGATCCTGTCACGGCTCTCTGCTGGCTGGTGGAAAGGGAGGGGGCGGGTACAGCTGGCTCTGCCTCTAGATAGGCAGAGCCAGCTGTCAGTCACGCAGCCGGGCGGATCCAGACATACCGGTAATTGTCGGGATCCGCTTCAGCTGTGGCATCTCAGTATAACGCGAGCTGTAGCGCCGGGTATACTGAGCTTAGGGTGACGGGAGGACGCTAGTTTGTGTCCTCCCGTTACCCTAAAGAGAACTATGGGGAAAAGCCCTAACCCCATAGTCCTCCTTTAAAGCTCGTAGCCCACAATACGGTATTGCAGGACCACACATCGTACTATGTACTAAGGGTATCAATAGACCTGGTGTCTGGGCAATGTGCCTTGGGTCCCCTGCTGAGTGGGTGTCCTATGGGGGCTGATTTATAAAGGGTTGATATAGATGTCTCATTGCATTCCATGCCGACATCTCACCATGCGTAATAACAATAGGTGCTGAAGTGGCCAGCGAATCGCGCCGCAAAACCAGAAAAGCAAATGGTCACCCGCACACCGAAGTCCACCTTGAATGAATCCGTCTATTATTGACGTTTAGATAAGCATGGTGTCACAGAATATAGCAATGCTTCAGAACCCATTGTGGTCCCTTCATCAGGCAAAACAACATGAGCCTCATTGGGTCTTAGTCATAGAGATTTCTATAACCCCCTCAATACCGGCACGTTCCTTCATATCTAAAACCTGCGGCAAAAAATTACATCACTTAGGAGTGTCTCCTTTACCAAAAAAGGGTAATTTGGGGGTTTTCCTGGCATTTCTATTTTATATGTTTTATAACAGTAAGATAAAAAAAATTTCAAAAGTGGTGATTAAATACCACAAAAAGAAACCTCTATATGTCTAAAAAAAAAATACAAAATTAATTTGGTTACAGTGTTGTGTGACGGAGAAATTCTCAAATCAGACTTTCACAGCGCTGAAAACTGGCCGGGTAATAAAGGGAGTGAAACATGGCGGCACTGAAGTGGTTAAAGCAGGTTTGGCATTCCTTTAGACTTCTATGGGAACGCAAAAAACTACGACCAGAAGCTCATCAGCACAGACCCTTCACCGAATGCTGGCCATACACCTTACAACCATCGCAAGACTTTTGTCTTGCGATGGTTGTAAGGTAATTAAAAAAACGTACGATCTGCCCATCTTGGACGGGCAGATCGTCCTTGCGATGATCGCAAGCCGCGCCCTCCTGAGGGGCGGGCTTCCGATGACCGCAATGCCGAACGGGCAGTGTGCGCTTGCGCACAACGGCCTGTCCGGCTTTTATCTTACTAACATGCTGCACACCTGCCGAAAATCATACGATGCTCGGCGGGTTTTCGAACATGTTCCTAAGATAAAAGTCGTGCGACCGCACAGTAGTAGAAGTCGCACGGCTTCCACACACCTTACGATAATCGTACGATCGCTGGATTTCCCGCGATTATCATACGATTAACGCAAGGTGTGTGGGCACCTTAACGGCAAGATGTCTTTTTTTACACAGGGAAAGAATTAGGAATCAATATATCTGCGGGCACGATAGCATACAGGACATCACAGCCACAAAAATAAACGTATTGAGCAGATAGTTTTTGGGGAAAACAGATATTTGAGGTCCCAACAACAAAATATTACCATTAAAAGGATCCTTTTTTATCAACATTACAAAGTCTATACGCGGTTCATAAAACATAATCTAATGAATATATAAATACAGGCGCTCTCCCTATACAGAGTCCGCTCGCTATATCTCTGCACCCAGTGTAATATATAAACTTCCATAAAACACAAAACAAACTCCTCACATCTCCGAGTGACAGGAGACATCTTCAGATCCTCTTTGTATATAATAGACACGTAAAGGCTCAAGAAATTAATTTAATTTCCAATCGATTCGTTCAATTTAATCGATCAATTTGAATCTATTCGGATGGAGTTATTAGGCTGTTAAATGTGAAAATGTAACAAAAAAAAGAAAAATAGCATGGGGGTCACCCCATGTTCCATATTTTTTTTAGGGGGGACGCCATGGCACAAAACAAAAAAGCGTGGGATCCCCTCCAAAATCCCTTACCAGAGCCTTGATTTGAGCAGCGGCCTGGCAGAGCAGGAAATAGGGGGGGGATGGGGTGATCATGTAGCATACCCCACTACACCATACCAGGTCACATGCCCTCAACATGGGGAGGGTGTTTTGAAGGAAGGGAGTTTGTCGGTGTGGACATGGCGGTGGGGATTTTTTTCTTTCATCGAGTTGGCGAGTGGCGGGCATTGTGATTGATGAGGATTAGTAATGGGCTCGGGCGTGTTCGCAGCTCCACGTGCCGAACCCGCCAGGAAGCTGACAGCGCCAATCACAGGTAATGAGACATTTCGCAATCTCTGCAGCTGCGGACCGGGAAAATGTCTCAGTGCCTGTGACTGGCGCTGCTGCGCTCAGTGGTGTATTTACAAATCGTGCTGCCCTAGGCAAGACAGCAACGCCCCCCCCCTCCCCCCGTACTGACATCACGGCCGACCGTCAACCTCAGCACCCCCCCCCCACTCGGGGTTGACATTATGTGCCGCCGCCTCCCCATCAGCACAAGCCTCCATAGACAACCCCCTCCGGCGATCACTCACCCGGCATTCAAAGCGCCGCCGACCGCT